CCTTGCACATAGTAAGCGTTAGATAAATGTTTTTGGACATGAATCCAATTTACATTCCCAAGAACTCGAAACCCTGCCGCCCATGCGGTTGCCCTAACATCAGTACCAAGGCCAGGGACAGAAGCTGTAGCAGCCAACACGCTGTAAATGTGTGAATGTGAATCAGTTTATTTTCACAAAATTTGAAAGTAGGAAGAGCCCTTAGTAAACATTTAGTAACCCCCTCCATTTTACAGATGAGGAAACTGAGGCTCAAAGAGATGGTTCTCCCAAGGTTAGTACATGGCAAGAGCCAGGAAGAACGTGATTATGGGTCTTCTAACTCTAAAAAGTTCAGGGATTTTCCCACAATACCCTGGGTTCCCTCTGTTCCTTCTCCTGTATTTCTGTCTCTGGAGAGACCACATCTCAAAGTATACGATGGAGCTTCTAACAGTTCTTGCCTCTTTGCCTCTTTGCCTCCAGTTGCCTTCTTAGACATTCTAATTCTCGCCGTTGCCCCTGAAAGGGGAATTCTCTGAGAGGCTGATGTCTTTCTGGAAGGAGTTCAGGAATATGTGTCATCTTGGTCAAGTCACCTTAACCTCTGTGCGCCTCAGTTTACTCAACCGAATAATGATGGGGTTGGACTAGATGGCTTCTGGAGTCCCTTCCAGTTCTAAATCTGTGATCCTGTGACCACCTGAATTGCAGAGACTGTTCCATATCCAAGAGGCAAAATTTTGGGGCGCTGAGAAAGAACGAAAGACCTCCCTGAACTGAAGCTAACAGTTCCAAGCCAGTGACAGCTAGCCAGAGTGAGTCCCGGGGGTCCTCGCGGACCAGGCCGGCTCCTGCCCGCGGGCTTCCTCTGGTGGTGGCCGCGCTGAACTGCAGACCGGAGGATGGCAGCGAGAAGTGCTGCAAGCGCCCTCTGGTGTTGGTTCAGTAGTAACGACACCGACGAGGGAGCGGAGTGCAGACACCAGGACTGTGTGCGTGCGTGCGTGTGCGTGTCTGTGCACGTCGTGAACTTGCAGACTGGGAGGCGATCACCATGAGTTTGTGTGCTGTACAGCACATACGCGCATAGATAGTGTGTTGCTTCCGTGCGTGCTGTGCTCGGTTAGTCTGGCTGTGAAATGTGGGACGGCTGTACTATGTGTGAGAGCACAAGCCGGGAGATGGTAGTGGTGGTGGGGAGGTCCGCGCCTCCGGTGCAGGGCGGAGTCCTCACGGAGGCGTGAAATTGGTTTGGAGCAAACATATTACTAAAAGCAATTACCGGCGAGAGGTTCTGGGGCCCGCGGGAGCAGCAGCGAAGAGGCCGGGGAGGAAGCTCCCGGGCTTGGAGGAGTTTCAGGGTGTCTAACCCCAGAAAGGATCTTCCCTAAGCCAGCCACCTCCTAAGGGCAGGGTTTTCTGTTAAACACCTTCCTTCCAACTCCCTAAATCTGTGGGAAACACAATGCAGCCAGAAAAGACCTCTCCCAAAGTGGACCACCACTCCCTCCCCTACATGGCAAGACTAAGCAGGATGTGAACCTTCACTGGCTTTTATCACTCTTGGGAAAGACATCCACCAGGATTCTTCAAACAGGAGATGTCCCTCTCAGGTTAGGAATCCCCATTTTAGTTCGTACATCCTGAAACTTGATCGAATTGAAGATTCCCGCTCCTTTTTAGAGTAGCAAGGATCCCCATTATAGATTCCAAAGAGATCTTCTAGAGATAATATTTTCACAGGACCTTCCCAGAACCTCCCTCATCAAACCTCTACACACACACACACACACACACACACACACACACACACACACCCCACCCCAACCCCTTTCCCCCAGAAAATTTCCTGAAGACAAGACAGAGTGGGCTTTGCAGCCCTGGATCCTTCCTGGTCTGATGACTAGATAGGCTAGTGAAGCTCTGAGCCATCCCAGGCTCCTGAATGGACCAAAGTTGGGAGCAGTAGTCCTTGGTTCAAAGCTAAGAGAACTCTGAGTATTAGGGCAAGAAGTTAAGGAGCTTCAAGGTGTGTATGGGAGAGGGGGTCCTGTATCAGGGCAAGATGGGAGGAAAGAGGATGAAAGGCATACAATACTTTGAGGCTGAGGGAACAAGGAGCTTATCTTTTTTCAAAAAGGGACCTCACTTCAGTAAACCTCTTCCCTCCAGCTCTCCTTTATGTGGTCTGCCATCAAAATATAAGCTTCTTGAGAGAAAGGCTTCCACCAACAACCTCTCAATATTAAACTCTCAGGCCTATGAGTCAAGGTCCCAACAAAACAATAAAACAAAGGATCCAGTGAAGAATCTTGAAGCCTGCAGTCTCTGGACCACCTGAGAAGAAAGCAGAGCCCCACCTTATTGAGGCCCAAGGCCTTAGTTACAAGGCAGGCAGGACTTTAAAGGCTTGGCAGTAACACATCCTCTGGCCTTCACATGCTTGTTGAGGTTCAGTGTAGCTGGTAGAAAGAACTCGGCGGGGGCAGCTAGGTGGCACATCTGACCTCAGATACTTCCTAGTGGTGTGACTCTGGGCAAATCATTTAGCCCTGATTGTCTATATACACAAGACTGTAGGTGCCTTCTCTGAACTTTACTATGGAACTGTGTGATCAGGAACAAATCAATAAGCTTGTTTCCTAATTTGTAAAATAGGTCTAATAATACTTTGCAAAATTTCAGCCTCAGTACATGAGCTTTTATTAGCAGCCAAAGGAGGAAAATAATAATAATAGCTAGCATTTGTATAGTGCTTGAAAGTTTGCAAAGCACTTTTTATGTTAACTCATTTGATCCTCATAACCACCTTATCATGTGGGTGCTATTACCTCCATTTTACATATGATGAAACTGAGGCAGACAAAGGTTGAATTAAATGACTTACCTGGTTCACACAATTAGTATCTGAGGTAGGATTCAGACACAGGATTCTCTAGGTCCATTGCTCTATGCACTGTAGCACCTAGACTAAAGGGAGGTTAGAAAGGGGTACTTATTCAGAGCAGTATCGATATTTATGTTTATATGCACATATATGCACATGTGTATATATAAATATATATATACATACAGGTATATATATATACACATACACACATGTGCATGTATATGTGTACATTTGTCTATTTGAAAACTCTTTTTCAGCATAATTGGTTTTCTTTGCCATTCTATGTATTCTATTTCATACATTTAAAAACATTCTGAGAAATCTTCTGAGAAAGGTTAGGAACCCCTGAAGTTGGGGAGATACCCATGATAATAATAACTAATTAACATTTATGTAAGGTAGGTGCTATGCTATACTTACCTCCATCTTATAGATGAAGATAAGGATGCTGAATGGAGTGGGCAGAACCAGAAGAACATCGTACACTGTAACAGCCATTTTGTGCGATGACTAACTTTGATAGACTTAGCCCTTCTCAGCAGTGCAAGGATCTAAGACATCTCCAAAAGTCTCATGATGGAAAATGCTATCCACATCCAGAAAAAGGATTATGGAGTCTGAATGCAGATTGAAACATATTATTCTCTCTCTCTCTCTCTTTCTTTCTCCGTGTCTCCCTCTCTCCCTCTCTCCTTTCTCATAGTTTTTACATGTATAGCCTATATCAGATTGTTTGTCATCTTGGGGAGGAGAGAGGAGAGAGAGGGAGAAAAAAATTTGAAACTCAAAATCTTATAAAAGTGAATGTTGAAAACTATCTTCACATGTAATTGGGGAAAAAATACTATTGAGGGGGTGGAAACGAAGATTTGAATCCAGGTCCTCTGATTTTGGGCAGCTAGGTGGCACAGTGGGTGGAGTATCCAACCTGGAGTCAGGAAGACTCATCTTCCTGATTTCAAATCTGATTTCAGACACTTACTAGCTATGTGACCCTGGGTAAGTCACTTCACCCTGTTTGCCTCAGTTTCCTCATCTGTAAAATGAGCTGGAGAAGGACATTGCAAAGAAAAGCTCAAAATGGACTCACAAAGAGTCAAAAACGACTGACCAACAACTGCCATCTCTGATTCTAAATCTTCTCTTTCTCCCATTTGCACTGCCCCCACAATTTCTTATGTCATACTTGTGTACGCCGTCCTCGTCAGTCGAGCCAGCACAGAGAGACACAGACAATAGAGACAACACTGTACATTTTAATGCATGTCCAGAGTCTTTGAGTTTAAAGGAGAAAGTGCAAAGAAACACTGCAGTGAGGAAAGTGGAATACAAAGCAAGCTCCCGTAGACTCTTAAGAGAAACCCCCCCAAACTCTGTTTCTTTTGTTCTCCTCTGTCAGTGCTCTAGCACAGACTTTCTTCCCCTCTCTTCATTTTTCAGTACCAGCCCTCCTGGTTTCAGTTATCCGCAGTGCCAGTCTCTTTCTCCATCAGGGTGGTCCTGGGACAGAGCTGGCCCCAGGCACCCTGTTTCTCTGGGCTCCGATTTAGGCATTCTATATCTAGCTGAGAACCTGGGAGGAGCAGCTCTAACTGGGAATACTTTCACCTGGGGCTAAAAGAGTTAGAAGGGGCCCAAGAGAGTCTAAACTACCTCCCCTTAAGGCGTGAGAGGAAGAAAGGATCTGGGGACAGGGGAATCAATGGGGTAGAATCCTTGTGGGTGGTGGCATGGGACTAGTGCAAGAAGAGCAGACCGATGAAGGACTTGGGGGATTTTTGGTCTCTGGCCTATCACGGAAGCACACCCCTGGATATCAGCACCCAGGAAGCAAAGTCCCGGTCCCACTTCTCTGGTGATAGTTTCTGGAAAGCCAGGATGGATGAATTGCTGTTTCCCAGGTAATCTTGGCAGGAATCTCTGATAGGTCAGTAATAGTGGAGAGAATACTGAAAAGGAGAGATGAGGGGAAAGACAAAGGCAGAGAGGCTGGCTGATCTCTAAGAGTATCAGGCTCCTTTGCCCCCCACGTTCCTTAGGCTAGGCCTCTCCCCAGCCTCCCCAAGACTCAATCCCATCCCTGGGCTTCCCTTCCAGCCTCTGACTGGCCCCAGATCCCAGGACTTACCTAATAGAGAATGTCCTCAAAATCCAACTGTAGGTAGCGAAGGAGGCAAGGAGGCAGGGGTAACCAGGGCAGTGCCTGGGACAAGCAACCGGCCAGGTGCGATCGGAGAGCGTGGCGACTCAGGTGCTTCAAGGATCTCGGCCGACCCACCAAGGTGAAGAGCGAAGAGTAGAAATCTTGATGCTTCTGCATTCAGAAGAAAACTTGAAATTACAGGGCTGGGGTGGGAGGAGGAGTTCATGGACAAGGGATAAGACTTCGAGCTACAAAAGAGGAGATTCAGGACCAAAGATAGAGGGGTTCACCCACGATCATGGAGATAGTGAAGGGATGGGGATTCGAACTCAGGCTTGAATTCATTCCATTATCCTAAGAAGGGGGCTGGTAGAAATGTCTGTCAGAACCTTTCATAAAAGGGAAATGGGGGCAGCTAAGTGGTGCAGTGGATAGAGCACTGGCCCTGGAGTCAGAAGGACCTGAGTTCAAATCTGGCCTCAGACACATAACACTTACTAGCTGTGTGACTCTGGGCAAGTCACTTAACCCCAACTGCCTCACTTAAAAAAAAAAAAGTGAAATGAGCAGAACCAGGAGAAGGATGTACACAACACAATAATATGGTAAATACAAACAGCTCTGAAAGACCTAGGAATTCTGCCCAACCACGATCTGGAGGCCTTATGATAAAGTTCACTACCCAGCTCCGGATGGAGAGCTGATGGTTTCAGAGGCAGATTGAGAGGTGGCCAATGTAAGGATTTGTTTTGCTTGACTGTATATGTTTTATTTTTCTTGATTTATCAGTGGGGGAAGGGAGAGTGGGAGGGAGATAATTCAGAATTTAAAATAAAATTGAATTTAAAAACAACAACAGTCTTTTGCAGGTAGGGAGTATTCATAGGGGTTTCTATAGACTGAGATCATTTCCATGGAGTCTCTACGTGAAGATCTCTCCTAGATTTGAAAAGTTCTCTGTCTCCAGGCTATAAACAATCTCTTTGGAGAACCTCTATAAAGATGGTGCCCTCCCCCCTTCATCAGGAAATCTTAACCTAAGGTCAACTGACTTATTTTTTGTTTTTTGAGGCAGTCAGGGTTGAGTGACTTGCCTAGGGTCACACAACTAAAAGTTTCTGAGGTCGGACTTGAACTCAGATTCTCTTGCCTCCAGGGCTGGTGTTCTACCCCACTTCGACACTTAGCTGCCTCACTGACTTTCTTTTTTTAAATGTAGTTTGAGAACTGCATTTCAATGTAACTGGTTTCCTTTGTATTCCTATGTATTTTATTTCATGCTTTTAAAAATATTATTCTGGGTCCATAGACGCAGAGTTCCAGAGAGGTCCAAGACCCCAAAAAAGGGTTAGGAACCCCTGCTCTAGAAGGTTGGAGGGTCTCTGGATGATAGAGATGACAGCCTCTCCTTGAGGCTGGGCTGGGCAGTTCTGTGTTCTAGGGATTAAGAAGTCTCCTGGGTTGGGGCAGCTAGGTGGTACAGTGGATAGAGCACTGGCCCTGGATTCAGGAGGACCTGAGTTCAAATCCGGCCTCAGACACATAACACTTACTAGCTGTGTGACCCTGGGCAAGTCACTTAACCCCATTGCCTAGCCCCTCAAAAAAAAAAAAAGAAGTCTCCTGGGTAGTCCCTGAGTCTGACTGACCTGCAGGACCTCCGGGGGTATAAGGTCCACTGCATCCCCTGGCAGTTTCACAAGACTGTAGGTATTCATTAGAACCTCAATTATCCGGGGAAATTCACACCAGCGTTCCAACACCTGGGAAAAGAAACAGAGAAAGGCAAAAACCACAAGTATGTATTCACCAGGGTCACATACCTCCTACTGTTAACCCACAAATATTACACCTACTATATGCAAGGTCTGTGTCAGGGTCCCTGCCCTTTAGGTATTGTAGTGAAGCCTCCTCCCCATCACCATAACTGGAAATATTATCTCTCTTCTCAAAATTTCCCCAAGCATTTAGTCTGCATTTTTCCTTTGGCATCATCTCTCCCTATCTTGTATGACATGTAACTGTGTACATGTTATAGTCCTCTCCACCTTTCTTTAAGATTAGGGTGTCTGTCCCTTTTATGCTTATAATCCCAGAACCTGCATAGGGGACTAAGCAGTGCTTTATACAGATTAGGTGACTAATAAATGTTTGCCGATTTGGGAGAAACCGGGCTTGTGCATAAAAAGATAACCATAGGAAGTTACATTTGCTACAAGCCCAGTAAGAGACACCATCAAGGGAAGGCATTGCTTTCAGAGGATTCCTGTAAATTTCATGGAGGAAGTAGGCTTTGAAGACTGGATAAGATTCACAAACGAGCGAGGAGGACCTTCCTGGTATGGGAAACCACATGACCAAAGCAAAGAGGAAAAGGGGTTGAGGAGACCATGAAGAGACCAGTTTGCTGGAATGAAGGAGAGCAGTGGAGATCTCGCCCCTGATCCCGTATGTTGTCACAGAGCGGCACATACCTAGCTACCTGTGTGTGTACATATTTATGCCTAACCCAGGCTCTAGTCCAAACTACGCCTGAACAGAAGTCCCATCAATAACATCCAACAAGAATTAAGAGAGACACACAGTCCTAGAATGCAGTCCTTTCCCCAAGTTTCGGTTTCCTTCTGGTTAAATAGGGGTTTTGGATTAGATGACAGAATAATAGTAATAACTCTGACATCGATATCTCTTTAAGGCTAGCAGAGCACTGGCTTCACAATTACCCTGGGAGGTACCTAGTGCAATTATTGTTGTCCTCGACTTACAGGTGAGGAAACTGAAGTTCAGAGAAGACGAGTCCCACACTCAGTAGGAATGTGAGATCCTTTCCAGATCCAGATCTCGAGAAAGGAGTCTCATACATCATCTAGTTTAAGACCTTCATTTTTCAGATAAGGAAACTGCGTCCCAGAGAAGTAAATCCCAAGGTCACATAGCTCATTAGTGGAAAGGCCAGAAACAGCTTTTGTTGTTGTTTAGTCATTTCAGTTGACTCTCTGTGATTCCATTTGGAGTTTTCTTGGCAACCACTGGAGTGGTTTGCCATTTCCTTCTCCAGCTCATTTTACTGATGAGGAAACTGAGGCAAACAGGGTTAAGTGACTAGCCCAGGGTCACACAGCTAGTAAGGACAGATTTGAACTCAGGAAGATGAGTCTTCCTCACTTCAGGCTCAACACTCTAACCACTATGCACCTAGCTGCCCAGGAATAGCATACGATCTGATTTCCAGTAAAGTGTGGCTTTCTGTGAAGCCAGTGGAAGGGATTTGAAGATTTTGGGAAATAGACATCTTCCTTCCTCCTTTTTTGATCCCCTGGGACTTGAGGCTCAGCACTAGTTATAGCCAGGGAACAGTGGGTTACTCTTCTAAAAGATTAAATACACCTACCTTGAACATCAGAGTTTCCCTAGCAGGGTCTGGAGAAAGGTTGGGGAACCTGTGGTCCCGAGGCCACATGTGGCCCCGAGGCCACATGTGGCCCCTCTAGGTCCTCAAGTTCGGCCCTTTGATTGATTTGGTTTGATTCAAAGGGCTGCACTTGAGGACCTAGAAGGCCATGTGTGGCTTCCAGGCCGAAAGTTCCCCACCTCTGGTCTGGAGACCAGCAGAGGTAGATTGTGACTCCCAGGCTGGATGGGGTGGGACAGGGTGGTGCTTCTGCCCATTCATCTGCTGTCAATTTTCCCAGCTGGCCTGAGCCCGCCCATTCCCCCCACCCTCTTGGCTAGGGGAATCATTAGCTGTCAGAGCCTCTGTCAGATTACAGGGAATTGCTTGTCTCCTAATTATCTGGTGTTAATAGGAGATTAATTAGTGTTAATTGTTGATTTTCTTGTATTTTCCCAAAGGGGAGACCAATCTGCCGAACTCTCGGGCTGTTTAATTATTTGGTCTTGCCTGGGAATCCAGACAGATGCTTAACCGTTTGTGAGAAAAGAGGAGAGGGGGAACCAGGAAAGTGGGTACGGAAGTGGGACCTGACTGGACTGAGCCAGGGCCAGCCCCAGCAGGGGACGGGTCAGTAGGGCCCAGACCAAAGGTCACTGCAGCTCTCCCTTTGGGCCTGTTGTCTCTTTCTAAAGCGCAGGCCCAACGTATTGGCCAACACCCTCCTCCTTACTTCTCCCTCTGGGCCCCAAGGCTTCCACCACGCCATTAGACACAGCCAGAGCACTGACCCCTTTGGCTTACTTCCTGTCACTACCCGAGCACTGTGCTAAAGAGGTGTAGCCAACTTAGAAAAAAAGCTAAAGAGAAAGAAAAAACACCACTGAAAATGAACCTTGCCAAGTGACTGACGTTTAGGAAAGCTCTGAGGGCACTTCCTTCATAACACCTCTAGCACTTAGAGGACACTTTACATATGTTATCCCATTTGATTCTCATAACAACTCTGAGATAGATGGGATTATAATCATCTCCATTTTGCAAAAAACGAAACTGAGTGAGAAAGTGAAAGTGACTCATCCAGGGTCACACAGCTAGGAGATGTCTGAGGCAGGATTCAGAGGTCTTCCCAGCTCCAAGTCCAGCCCTCTAGCCACTTTGCCACCTCAATTGTCTGTTCCTTTACCTGGAGGATTGTTGGACAATTTGTCTCCTTCCTCTGACCCTCCGTATCATCACTTACTGCCTTGTAGACAAGAGGCAGTGTGGTATAAAAGAGACAGTACTACATCTGGGATTAGAAGGTCTGGGTTCTGGTTTCAGTTTTGCTCCCCCCTGTCTAACCTGGGACGAGTCACTTAATATCTCTGGGCCTCAGTTTCTTCATCTGTAAAGCACAGGGTTAGATTAAACTATTGATAACATCCCTTCCAGCTCTAAATCCTATGATTATACCTCTTTATTTGCCTTATGTCCCTATAACAGATTGCAAGCTACTTGAGGACAGGAACTGTCTTTGTATTCTCACAGCTCTAGTACATAGTGAGACCTAATCAATAATTGCTGAATGAATGCATAAAAATGTGTCAGTATGGTATCTTTGTGTCTAGTTGATTTAGGTTATAAGTTCTCAGAAGGCAGGTATTGACTGGCTCATGCGCGTATATTACACAATGCCTATGATATTATTGATATTTAAGAAATACTGATACCATATAAAACATGTCATTTCTCCTTTTCCTCCTGGATATGTGTCACTTGTCCATTCCCTTCTATGGCCTTAATCTTCCTGCCAGACTAATCTTCCTAACATTGTTTTTAATTACGAAATTTCTTTGCTCAAGAGCCTGCAATAGCTCCCTAGTGCCTGCCAGGTCAAGTACAAAATCCCCTTCCTGGTCCTCTATAACCTGGATCTATTCTACCTGTCCCACTTAATTTCCCTAAGGAATTTCAAACCCCCACTGTAGCCAAGTCAGTCTGAATTTTCCCCTGCCTGCATAAGCCTCACTCATGTCACAGGTAAGCTATCTAAATCCTACCCCCACCTTGAAGAACCAGCTCATGGCCCGCTTCCTCAGTGACCACTCCATCCTTCCCTTATCCGTCCCCTTTTTGAATATCAATAGCATGTAAAAAGAGGATCACATGTTTAGAATTCAAGGTCCTTGAGATTTTTTTTTTGTCTTTGTAACCCTAGTGTCTACCATAATGCCTAGCATATAGTAAGTGCTTAATAAATGTTTATTGATCAATTGATTGTTCTTTATTTTCTGTCAGTCTTGTTCTTTGAACTAGACTAGAAGCAATCTGAGTGCAAAGAATACTCTTGTATCTTCCAAAGCACCTGGAAACACAGTAGGCACTAAATAAATTGATTGAATGGCACCCCATCTCATACTCTTTCACTAACCTTTGCATCAATGACAATGGGGAGCCAAGATGGCAGAGGGAAAGCAGTGACTTGCTAGAGCTTTCCCTCAAACCCCTCCAAATACCTATAAAAAATGGCTCTAAACAAATTCTAAAGTAGCAGAACTCACAAAAAAAACAGAGTAAAACAAATTTCCAGCCCAAGACAACCTGGATGGCTAATCGGAAAGGTATATCATGCCTGGCTGGGAGAGAAGCGCAGTTCGTCATGGGCAGACAGGCTGCAGCGAACCTGGAGCAGACCTCAGAGGACTGAATCCCAGGCAGCTGTGGCAGTTTCCTGACTTCTCAATCCTCGAACGCCAAAGACACCTTAGAAGGTCAGTGGGAAAAGTCTGCGACTGCATGAGAGAAGAAGCTAGGTCTCAGCCGGCCTGAGCTTCTGGCCCACAGACTGAGGGGGAATCGAGTGGCTGATCAGAGGGGGATTGCAGGGATTTCTTTGCCAGTGCTGAGGCATGAATCTCTTGCTTTGCCTGTGCTTGGATCTGGGTCACAGTTCTGAGGGGCAGTCCTCGGGAGAGGAGGAGCGCTGGCGTGGTGGAGCTTGTTGTGGCAGTGGAGAGGAAACATCTTGCCCCTTATCATAGCACCTTGGAATAACTGAAAATTTTCAGGTCCCTAGAAGTATCTCTGAAAACAGCTGTACAAACCCCTGAAGCTTGGGACAGTACATTCTTCACATTAGAAACAGACTCTTACCTTAACCAAGAGTTTAAAACTCAAGTAATTGGTTGGGATCATGAGAAAGCAGCACAAGAAGAGTCAGACTATATTATCTTACTTTGGTGACAAAGAAGATCAAAACATTAATGATGATGACTGACTTCCAATGCCCACCAGCAGTAGGGCTTGCTGTGTTTAAAGTGGGAGGTACTGGCAAATTCTTCAAGGCACCTAGGAGTATGGTCCAGAGGCCCCACTGTGTCTCTGTAGTCA